AAATTAAACCAAATAGAAGAAAACCGAAATTATCAGTAACTTGTTTGAAACAACTGCTATTAGTGATTTAGATAATGAAAGATCTTCTAAGCTTTTTTCTATTCACATCTAAACACACATATACAACATAAAGATGCTGCCATACTGTGCAGACATTATGTTTCTTGTTGTTTTTGCACTAAAAATTTTGTGAACATAGTTAATCTTACTTCTACATATATATTTGAATGGCTAAATTCTATCCCACAGTGCAGGTACATAAAAATTAATTTAATTGATAACTTTATTGCTGGACGTTTAGCATTCAACATATTTACATTCCAAACAGTACATTTTTGTAACTGAATGTTTGTACATTTTAAAAATCTTTATTTTTCATTTAAAAAAGTTAATTAAATGTATTTTGCCATGTTTTAGTATTTTTCTTATTTTTCAGATTTTCCAAACTGGAATTTCTACATAAAAAGATCTGGAAATTAATTTTTTTCTTAATTGCCAATCTGTCCTTCAGAAAGTTTATTCTGATTTATAACCCTACCATTAGTGAATCAAAGTAGGAGGTTTTTAATCTTTGTCAACTTTGACTATTTTAATCTTCACATTTTATTTTTAATTTAATAAGCAAAATTATTTTGATTTACTTAAGTATCAGCCAATTTGGAATTTTTTTTCCATTTTCTAAGTGGCCACAGATTTGTTTTTTTCCACTAGTAATTGTTCATAGCCTAGCCATTTTTCAGACTCATAAGGTATATCTACATAAATTCAATGGAGTATTTGAGAATCATGTATACTGCAACCATTTCATTTTACTTTTATTTATAGTCTTTGAAAATATAGATGCTTAAGTCTTAAGCTTTTAAGCCTTTTGTTCATAGTTCCTATCTTTCAAGCAAGTCTTAGGATGCTATCCTATTCAAATTCAAATATATCTTCACCTATAATTTTTCTATTACTCTCATAATTTTATGTTGAGATACTGGATATTAAGTTTCTCATTATGTGATTGATATTGCATTGAATAGGAGGAGTACAATCATCTTTGAGGACAGAGACTAGATTGAAATAGAAATGGAAAAGATAATAATGAAACAACCCCATAAGGAGTGACAAGGCTTAAAGAAATCTGTCATTCAGTATCTTGATCAAATGCCTCAAGACATTTAGGCATGATGTTGATGAACTGAGGCAAATAGTGATGATCAGTCACTGTCAGGGCAAGAGGAGAGCTTGCACGTCTTGATTATCCACTGGGATTGAGCATGTTATCTCTACAAAGAGATTCATGCAACAGTGTGAAGAGGAAAAGATTTTTCTGTCTGAATTATTATTTCAGATGCGAATCTCTATAACCTCTCCTACTTGTCTTCCTGCTCTCCTCCACTCTAGTGATTCTAGATTCCTTCCTCTTCCTC